AGGGTGGGTGTCAGGAGGATGGGGCCAAGCTCTTTTCAGTGGTGCCCAGTGACAGGACAAGGGGCAACGGGCACAAACTGAAGCAGAGGAAGCTCCAGCTGAACCTGAGGAAGAACTTCTTCCCTCTGAGGGTGACGGAGCCCTGGCCCAGGCTGCCCAGGGAGGTTGTGGAGTCTCCTTCTCTGGAGATATTCCAGCCCCGCCTGGCCGCGGTGCTGTGCAGCCTGCTCTGGGTGACCCTGCTTGGGCAGGGGGTTGGGCTGGGTGACCCACAGAGGGCCCTGCCAACCCCTGCCATGCTGGGATTCTGTGATGCTGGGATTCTGTGATTCTGTACCGGGTCCTGCTGGCCAGCACAGCCAGGCTCTGCCAGACCTGCCCCGCTGCGGGAGGAGAGCAAGGCACTGCCGAGGCTCGGGGGCTGTAGAGGCAGAGACTGAATCACAGAGCGTTTGTTAAAGCCCCGTTTCCCTTCTAGAGTCTTCTTCATTAATATTTTAATTAAAACCAATTCTCCGAGCAGACCGCATTAACTCAGCAGACCTCAGACATAACGCATTGAAGGATTAAATATAGCGAGCACGGCTCTTCGCAGGCCAGCAAAGCAGCGAGGCCACAGAGACCTGATGGCAGGATCAAGAACAGGGACATTTACTGGTCCATTGCCACCCGTGGGCAATGAGACCGGACAGACGCGGGGCTCAGCAGCACATGGGACACAGGGACCAGCCTGCCTGCAGGGAGCCAGGGATGCTTGGGGAGGACGGGACAGGGGACACGCTGGTGGCACTGAGCCCCCAGCCACGTTCTTGGGACATGTCTCAGTGGCTGGAGCTCAGCTCAGTCCCCAGGCTGCGTGGTTCTGATCTCAGAGCTCGCAGACGAGGCGATTTCCCCTCAACTCCAGCCAAAATTACCCTCCCTGCCCCATTCCACGCTCTCTCTATCTCTTTGTACCTTGCTAAATAATTCCTCTTCTTCTTCCCTGCTTATCTCCAAGGTGTTCGGAGGCAGGTCCCCCTTCCCTTCCCTTCCCTTCCCTTCCCTTCCCTTCCCTTCCCTTCCCTTCCCTCTCTTCTCTTCTAAGTGCAGTGACAAATTTTGATGACACAGTGTAGCTTTCTAAGCACCTATATCTTTGCTAGAAGTCTGTTACATTTGCTGAATAATTTGAGAAATGAACCATCTCTGATCAGTAAAATCCCATACCACATCTTTCATTCAACTGTGACTAATACACAAGACCCCACATTTTCTAAAAGGAAGGTCTGGCGATTAATTGATGTGTGTGGCTGTGTATGCAGCCCGTGCAGTATACTCCAACTTCACACTTCTCTGTTTGAAATAAGCTTTAAGGTAAGTAGTCCGTGGGTGACACATGGGCTCTTCAACATAGGCCTCCCATCCGCAAATATTTCATTCTATTGCAATGAGTCTTTCCGGCTTCTTAATCACGTTAATTACTGGCTCTAACCCCAGTCTAGCTCCCCTCAGTTCCTCCAGTACCCGACCCCCAGTCTGACTCAGCGCTCCCACTCCCCTTGGAGCCTGCGCCAAAAGGACTACACGGAGGTGCCACGTCCCACAGACCGGCTCCCACCCGTGTCCCCGCTCCCTCAGCTGTCACCCTGTCCTCCATTCCCCTGCGTAGGCCTCCCCCACCTCTGCAAAATGAGCCCCCCGGCAGATGTCCCCCCTGGCAGGGTTGCTGTGGGAGAGGTTTTGATTTGCTGTGCCGGCTCGGGGCTCCGCCAGCTTCCCAGCCAGCTCAGAGCTCGCCGAGCCACCTGGGGCACGGAGGGGACAAACACTTCCTCCCTTCACTGTGCCCCTCCAAAACCCGGGGCTGCCACGATGCCAAACTTGACAATGGCACCGGGAGCTTAAAGCGATTCAGAAATGTGATTCTGGAAAGGGTTTCACTTGCTGTCTGCAAGACGAGATTCGGTGCTGTGGCTGCTTTCAGCAGTCCCCCCGGCACGGCAGCAGGCTGCCTGCAGGAGCCCATCGCACCGCCAGAGCCAGAGCCGGAGCCGGATCTCCACCGGTGCTGCTGGGGAGGGTTTTCTCCGGCTCTCAGCAGCGAGTGCTGCTGACTCACCTGCTCTGGGGCCAGCGCTGCAATAAAAACATCCCACAGCCAATTCCAGCACGGCGTTCTCAACGTCTGCAAACAGAAGCCGGCCTCCCGACGGTGAACACCCCGCAGATGTTCCCTTGGCTGTACGCTGCCACCCTTCTGACAATAAATCACGCCCCGAGCCCTCTGCGGGGCACGCTAACGGCAGCTTACCAGCTGCTGTTCACCTCCAGGAAGGATCAGACGTGAGGCAAGCGGGGAAAATCCCTGTGGGAATTCCCGACTGCTGGCTCTGAGACCTTCATTGCTCCCAGCAATGCCCTGGTGGCGATTTCTCCCGTGGGAGAAATCCTCTTGTCCCCCTCCCCGGGCCCGGTACGAGGGCATGTAGCACCCTCGAGGGGAGCGGGGCTGCGAGGGGTCTGTCTCACCATGAGGGCCTGCAAGGAGCCTGAGGCC